ACTTCAGCTTTTGGGAGATATTTTGGACTCAAACCATAACACCACATTGAGGCTAGATGTAGATCGCTTTACATGATTATTTTCTAGTCAGTCAGTCAGTACTTTCTAACTCAAGTCTTTAATCAACGTCAGAAAATTAAATTCAATTATGCCTTTGATTTTTGCTTTTTTATGATTGTTTGGTCTCCTTCAAACAAATAATTAGTTTATGCCACATTGTAATGATTCTTTATCATACTTTGATCCTTTTTCATCTGAGCTTGTTATCTTATACCACCTTATTCTAATGTCCTTTTATCTTTTCCTGGTTTATCCTGATGACTTTCTGTTCCTGGGTTTTGTTTTCCTTCCTTCCTTCCTTCCTTCCTTCCTTCCTTCCTTCCTTCCTTCCTTTCTTTTTTTTTCTTTCTTTCTTTTTAAGTATGCTTACTGAGCAACATTAAACTCACAAAATAGAGTTCTATAATAATCTCCAATAATCTGTAATTTTTATTGTTCCAATGACTACAAAATATCAAAATGACAGTCTCTCAGTATTTCTATGAGTTTTCAATGTTGTCTTTGCTCTTCTTTTGAAATCTTGTTTTTTATTTTGTTAAAACACCATGTAGAATTTTTTTTTCTTATGCTTGGTTAAATGTTCACTAACCAACCATTTTCAGTGGTAGCCACTGAATCTTTTTCTCAGATTTGGAGGGAAATCTTCAGTGTTTGTCGAAGATTTCCTCAGTATTTTTCCTCAGTATGATTCCTCTGGATTCAATAGAGACCTTCTCCTACATGTGCTGACTAGGTTTCTGAGGTTTTCAATAGGATGAGTTCGTGAAAAAATGTCACCTCCAGGACATGTTTCTACCAGGCTCTTATTGCATTTGCCTCTATCTGTACATTTGTGGGAGTTTCATTCCTGACAATTCAATACAATGCCTCCAACTTCTCTCTATATTCTGCCCTGCTATTTGTGACAGATGTGGAACTATAGAAAAGAAGGGGCAAATGAATTCATAACTCAAAAATTGTATTTGTGGATAAATGTAATTTACCACTTAAAAATAAATTAAGAATAAGAATCATATGACTATATCTCAACAGATGCAGAAAAAGCCTTTGATAAAATCCAGCACCCATACATGTGAAAAATGCTGGAATAAACCCAACTATTATGTGTAACTGTAAGGTTCGAATTTAAAAAATTCTGGAGAAAATAGGGATAGAAGAAACTTACCTCAACATTACAAAAGCTTTATATGACAGAATCTAAGTCAACATCATCTTGAATGAAGAAAAATGGAAAGCAATTTCTTTAAAATCAGGAACAAGATAAGGATGTCCACTCTCACCATTTCTATTCAATATAGTTCTTGAAGCTCTAACCAGAGCAATCAGGCAGCAGAGGAAAATTAAAGGGATATAAATAGGAAAAGAAGTCAAGCTATCTCTGTTTGCTGATAACATAATTCTATATCTAGAAGAACCAAAAATATTTCACTAGAAAGCTTCTTGAGCTAATCAATGAATTCAGCAAAGTAAATAGCACACAAAATCAATACTGATAAATCAATAGCTTTCCTATACTCCAACAGTGATTTTGCTGAGGAAGAAATCAGAAAAAAAAATCCGTTTTACGGTAACATCCACAACAACAAAAAATTGGGGAATTTATCTAATCAAGGAGGTGAAAAATCTCCACAATGCAAATTAGAAATTACTGCAGAAAGAAATTGAAGATGATGGAAAGACTGCTCATGTTCTTAGATAAGTAGAATTAATATTGTCAGAATAGATGTATTACTAAAAGCAGTCTATAGATTCAATGCAATCGCCATAAAAATACCAAAATACTAATGACATTCATCACAGAACTAAAAAAAAAAAAAAAAAGTCCTTAAATTCATTTGGAAGAATAAAAGATGAAGAATAGTCAAAACAATTCTGAGCAAGAAAACTGATACTGATTCAGCAAGTATCGCAATACCCAATCTCAAATTACAGTACAGAGTTACAGTAAGAAAAATAACATGGTATTGGCATCAAAGTAGACATGAAGACACATGAAACAGAATGGAAAACACAAAGACAAACCCATATACTTACAGCCATCGGATGATACATGACAAAGTTACCAAAAATACATGTTGGAGAAAAGATAGCCTTTTAAACAAATGATTCTGGAAAAACTGGATATTAATATGTAGAAGAATGAAACTAGCTTTCTATTTATCACTCTGCACAGAAGTCAAATCAATATGGATCAAAGACTTAGGAATTAGGACAGAAATCTTGCAACTGTTAGAAAGAAACACAAAATCAACATTTCATCATTTAGGTGCAGGCACTGACTTATTCAACAAGACTCCTAAAACTCAAGAAATAAAAGCAAGAATCAGTAGCTGGGATGCCATCAAATTAAAAAAGCTTCATCACAGCAAAGAAAAATGACTAAGGGAGTCAAGAGAGAGTGTACAGAGTAGGAAAAAGTCTTTGACAAGGGATATTAATGTACAAAGAACTCAAGAAAGTTAACATGAATAATCGGGCAAAAGAACTAACATTTGTCAAAAGAAGAAACACAAATGGCCAGCAAATGTATAAAATAATGTTCAACATATCGAGCACTCAGGGAAACAAAAATAAAAACAACACTAAGATTTCATTTTGCTCCAGTCAGAATGACAATTATCAAAAACACAAATATATTAAATGTTGAGGAGGATGTGGGGGGGAAAGTGTACACTCATTCATTATTGGTGGGACTGCAAATTAGCACATCCTCAAAAAACTAAAAATGGAGCCACCATATGACCTAGCTATCTCACTCCTTGGTATTTATCCAAAAGTACCAAAATCAACCTGCAATAACAATAATGCCATATCAATATATAATAGCATAATAGCCATATATATTATATATAATAGTATATATATATATATATATATATATATATATATATATAAAACTCCAGAGTATATATGAATTTTACTTAGCCATAATAAATAAAGTAATTATGGGGTTTGCCAGTAAATGCATGGAACTGGAGAACATCATGCTAAGTGAAATAAACCAGACTCAGAAAATCAAGTGTCATATGTTTCCTTTCATATGTAGAAGCTAGAGCAGAACAAAGAGAACCAAGTAAACAAAGTGTGGAGCAGGGATGGAATACCACCAGAATATAGGGAAGATCAGTGGAATAGAAGGAGATTGAGAGCATAGAAGGAAGGGGGACAAGAAAGGGGAGGAAAAGTGGAATGAACTTAATAAAATTATGTTATATACAAATATAAATATATCACAGGGAATTTCACCTTTATCTATAGGTAAAAGTATCAATGAAAAATAAATAAACATGCAAAAAGAAGACCAGTAGGGTTGAGGAAGGAGAAAGGAGGAGAGAGGAGGTCATGGAAAGGTGGGAGAAAACGGGAATAAGATAAAATTCCAAGCATGTCTGATTTTTGTCAAAATGAATACAAGAACTACTTATAACTATAATGCTTTAAAAAGAATAATTAATGAATAAAGGATGGTATTTATGGATTATAGAGGTAAATTTGTGTTCACTTTGATATATATAAATCAGAAAATATAGACACACATGGTTTTTCTTGTTATCTTTCAGGCCAATGGAGTTGCTTTGTTTTATAATGTAAAGTACATGGTAATCACAAGTTATTTGTATTAATTATTACTATACACTCTATAAATAGTAAAAACACTTACTGATTCTGGCAATGGGTTACCAATCAACTACAATCCATTTTTAAGGTTTTTTAAACTCTTATCTTTTTAAAAAATATAAGTATAGACATTAATGTTGGAGGAGAATAAATTTCAGTCTTTAAGACCACTATATTTTAAACTGAAATCTCCAAAATTCTTCTGATTAAAAGTCTCACTTTAGCACGATATGCAGGAACATGGACTAACTAAATTACCACTTGGGTTACACACAATCTATATAATTTTGGTAGCAAAAGACATATCACTAGATACTTCACACCAGAGTCCTCTTGATTGCTTCCCCCAGGCACATTCCAATGTTTTACTGCTGCCTGCTTCCTAAACTGGACACATTTTAGCAAAGAACAAACAATTTACCTCTTTCTTTCTAACCTTGCTAGCTGCAAACCAAAGGGATGATAGCTAAATAAAAGGCATGATTGGAAATGGAGATATGTGAGTCCAGGTCAAGATTACCCACTTGTTAGGGCACTTGTATGAGTTCTTAATGTCATTGAGTTTAAGTCTTCTCATCAATAAAATAAGATTGTACAACATAATGTACATAATCAATTTGGCACATAGTAGCCTCCCAATTAAAAGTAGTTTTTGTTTCAAGTAAGTTTCTATAGCCATTATTTAGTTTTTAAAAGAAAAAAAATATTTCCTTCACAACTAAAGAAAAGTCTCTCTCTGCTTTTTCTGTTAGAAACAAAAGGATAAATATTCAATGAAAAGATAGGAAATAAGATCAAGATTGCTATTAATTCGTATATTATATTTGTTGTTAGTATTTTCTTTCTTGGTGATAGCTTAACACGTGTATTTGACTTATTGGTGGAGATTTTGTTTAAGCAATTAAACTGGGAGAAAGAATATACCTACAGATAGATTTATCTGTAGGGTAAATATTAATTCAAATTTAACTTTTCTTTTAAAAAGTCAGGTTATTTTTTTCCCTTACACTAACAGAAGATTTTTTTAAATACAATAATTACAACAGTATGCCACATCTTTGTAATTCATCATAAGTTTTTGAAAGGAAGCATTCATTTGATCTTTTTTTTAATATCAATCATTGAATAACCTACTTTGGGTTCATTAGAACTAAAATTTTTATTTCCTTTAGTAGATCAATAATATTTTATCTCTAAATTAAAGTTATTTCATAATATTTTAATACTGATCTCTAAATAGAAGACATTTTGTTACAGGTTTTAATCATTAAAGTTTCTTTGCTTACCATTTTATCAGTGAGCAACAGTGGGGTCTTACTCACCGGTAGACATATAGAGGTGTGATCCTGCTTGTTGTGGCAGTAATTGCTCTTTTATGATCTTTTTCCGACACAAGATTCTTCTTATCTTGGTGTGGAAAACAAGGTAGGAATATAGTAACGGGCTTCTGGAAAGGATGTGTTGATGGGTGCTGAACATGAATCAGAGGACTTGTGGACAGTACTGAGTAGGAAGCTTCTTGCTGTGCTTTTAAATATGCAATCAGAGATGGGTCCACTGGTTGGATCTAAACAAAGGAAAAACGCTGTTTATATTTCTATATTTTAAAAGCAAAATATATAAAACATTAACAAATATTGCAGAATATAATTCCTAAGCCATTTTCTTAAAATTTGACAGGACATATCTTCATGCATTACTGTGTCCACTGTGGACTGGAAACAATACTGTTTATATTATAGAACAGCCTCTGGATCCCTGTTTACAAAGTCTTTCTGAAATCTGGCTTCCCTATCCTGTGTTATAAATAACTAAGGAGCACTCTAAATTGTAGGCAACAAAATGACCTAGAAAACAAAAGAGATATTTTATATAATTTCTAATTATAACTATTGTTAAATCAAGTGATCTTTAGAAACTAGAAAAACAAGACTATATTTACTTAAGTGTTTCCTTCTCATATAAAAATGGTTAATAATAAAAATAGATAACATAATGCCAAAATTTCAAAATTTATGGAGAATATGAATAAAATATTCATATTATGTTTTCCTCCAATCTTTCTGCTTCACTTAGCACTTAGGATAATAATTGGGAGAAATATGGGCATGAGCTGAGCCTGGAAAAATAGGGAATATTATTTGAAGAAATAAATATTCAAAAAGTGACACTGATATATCATTATACTCTTTGAAAATGGTGTTTGCATATGTTAAATCCTGACTCAAAAAAGGCTAATGTTTCATAATTAAGTAAAATCAAACAGTCATAATAATAAATATTTTAATTGATTAGCTATTTTTGTCATACTCTCAGATGCAAATCTTGAGTCATATAAATGTCCACAAATCTGCCATCAATTGTTTCCTATATACTCAACATTGTGTTTGATAATAAATATAATAAACAAGACAGTGCAAAATACCAGCTGGGAAGGCCTTTCAAACAAAGCATGGATTTGTTTGGGAGTGAAACTCAACATGCTCAAAATCATCATATTTGCTGATATCACTGCATGCTAATCCATAACAAGTAAACTCATTTACTGTTACACGAAATATTTGCATCTTGTTCATCTTTAGGGCCAGCAGAGCTAGGAGAAGGAGCTAATTGATTTCTCATATTTACCTTTAATTGTACCAGCACCGGTGAGCTGAAAACTCCTGGGGGGTAACTCAAGGATATTCGGGAATCCACGCTTGACTTCACAGTGAGGCCTTTTTTTGTTACTGTAAAGGACTCTCTCTTTAAACAAGACACAACTGAAAATATACCCAACTTGTAAGCTTTCACGGCTGCGCAGGTTCCCTGTGTGGATTACAGATGTTAAAACAAGCTATAGCACTGTCTGGGGAAGTACATGCTGTCCACACTCTGTGAACTCTCAGAAAAACCCATAGGTTGTCAATATGATCACCAGGATTTGGAATGATCCAATTAACTGAAAATGGGTTCTTCTGTGAGATAAAGTAGAAACAGCTAACTAAAAGCTTCTCAAATTCAGATTGCATGACACACAAAAAAGAAAAGTCCATGTATTTTTAAAATTAGATCCTCCCAAATGTACATGTATGGTAGGCGATCATATTCAGTGTTCTCACAAATATTAACTGCTTCTGGAGTTCTAGACTCCTTTAGCTATAATGGATTTTAAATACTAGTCTTTTTTAAATTCAGAACATTCAGCCCTGTCTTTGGGAATTCTGAGGAGTAGAATTTTATTACTTGGGTAGTTTATTCAAATGCTGGAGCACCTGTACTGTTAGCAAATTCGTCCTTCTGACAGCTCAGAATCTTTTAGGATGCCAAAATTAAGTCATTTTCTCTATTTCTCTTCATGTAGTGGGAGCAGATGACTGCAGAAGGATACATTTGCGTTTTTTTTTTATGTAGTGACATTCAAATGTGTAATCATATATGCAGGCACATATTCAAGCTTTTTATATCACACAAAAGAGAACTGAGTACATAAATGAAAACGAAATGACCTCCTCATGTAATCAGCAAAGCTTAAAATGAGGAGGCAGACTTAGATGTAATTCGGTGTATTCATGCTTCCCCAAACACCAGCCGGACTCCGCCCTAGCATGAGTGGATAATCATGCACACACACACACAAACATTTCAAGGACAATCACAATGGAAAATAATCTATCATTTGAAAGCTGACTAAGGAGGAGATTTCACAATATCACTGCATGAATTCATTGTTGGGAAAATTCAAGGCATGAATGTTCTCAACTGGCCAGAGGGAAAATAGTGAGAAACAGGCAAGAAAAGTCTCCTGGAAACCAGGAGAACACATTTGGCAGACACTGGGCAACAAAAAGGGTTTTTAGGAATTAGAATTTTTAAATGTCACATAGGACCCACAGAAAAAAACTGGAAAGAATCCAAGATTTAAGTTTTCTTGAGCTAAAACTAAGGATAACTACCATCAGAATACTGCAAAAGGAAAAGTATACAGTTTTATTTTTCATGGTAGACCATGATTCTCTTTTTCTTTTGCTTTGATCATCCATTTACTGAGCAAATTTCAAACTCATTTTGTGGAAAGCCCACATGCTGGGAGCAGATTTTACTTTACTGTGACAGTCACGTAAACTGGCCAGACTAAAAAGTCTAATAAAGGGCAGTGTGGATCAGACTTTCATACTTAATGACTTGCTAGACTAAATATAAAATGAATTAGTTGAATGAGTTGGAAAGGGTGATTAGAATAGGCTTTGTTTGCTTATTCAATTGCATAATCTTGTTTGTAGTTTGGAAAAAACAAAATCAGAAAATATAGAGATGTGTTATAAAGATTTTTGACATGTATTCCCCAGGCTCTGTCTTTTCCACTTACATAAAGGTGGAAAAGACGAATATTTTAATAGGTTAAAAAGAACCTCAAATATTAGTCCCCATCAATTCTACAGTACTAAATTTAATAATTGTATATATCCTTTCTTTGCAACGTATGAATTTGTGATCATAGAGAGTTTCAGATTTATTACAGTAGAGTCAATAATGAAAAGTGACAATTTATTAACAACTAGCCTGTATTTATAGGTTTCCTCTTAGGTTCATAAATGTGTTGTCTACTTAATACAATCTTATCAGGTGGACACTATTATCGTATTCATTTTTCAGATGAAGAAACTAAGTCATAGAAAGAGTTTTTAATTTACACAAGTTCATGCTGCCAGAAAGTATAGAAACCTGATTTCAGACCCCACCAATCTTTCCCCACTTCCCCAATACTGACCATCATGCACACTATCTTCTATGTGCAAGCTGAATTCCATTTATAGACTTAATTACTGGGTCAAGGGAGGCACACACAAGCCTGCACACACAATTTTTCCTTTTTTGCATAGTTTAAAACTCATGAATGATAAAAATAAAGTCATTAACACATGGGGATTTTAGCACTCTTAAATTTAGCCAGGGTCCAACACATTAGATATGCTATTCTAAAGCGAGGCTAAAGCATGAAGTTAATTAAACTATGATGTCACTTTTGTTTCCCAGGTGAAAAAATAACACTTGCTGAGTCCGAGATCCAAGTTCTCAATTCCTGACATTGGCAAGTCATTTCTGCTCTCTGATCTTTATAGATGGCAAAAAAGTATAAATGTATTGGCACAAACCTATCCACCCTTTGTTATCAATGGAGCCATTATATCTACAATATAATCTATTAGTCTGCCCTACAGCAAATGCAAATGTAGCCAAGGATTTACTGACCTTGTAACTTCCTCTCATTCCTTCTAGTGAATTTGGGGTTAGGTAACTTGATTGAAGGTTTATGTCAGACACTTTCACCATGATGTCTCTGTAATTTCCCCTGTAACGTGCAGTAAATGGAATTGCAATGCATATTGGAAATGGAATTCTCTCTTCCTTATCTGAGCATTCAATGGAGATGACATTGCTAACCAGCTCTTCATTATCACTCACTATTAAGCAACTCATGCTGTTAACTATCCGGCACTCCAGCTGCTGTAGGACACGTGATGGTGCTGTAATGTAGCAAGACACTTGGGGGTCAGACTCCTCGCTCAGCATAAGATACCTGTAGAAACAACAGAATGTCATTTTTCCAATTATTATTATTTTTAAATGTACTTTGTAGCTTTCTGCAGAGGACACAAACTCTAGAGCATATTGCCTTGGTATGAACCTCAGTTCTCCTTATAAAACCTGTGACCTTGGGAGAGGTACTCTACCTGTCTATGCCAGTTTCCTTAACTATAAAGTAGTATTAAATGATATCTACCTTATAGGAAAACTTTGGGTTAAGTGACCTATTATATATTAAGTAATTTGAAAGAAGGCATTATACTATATGTTAGCCATAATTATTGTTTATAATGTGACTACTATTGTTATTTATGTGATTGATTTATTTCTTAGTATCGTTTACTTCATAATAAGAACTTGAAGATTGCTGATGCTTCTTGATAGACCAAGAACTAATTACTAAATGGTTTCCCACATTACAAGGGAAGGGAGTACTTGTGTACAAGGTATTATAATTGTATAAACACACTAGATCAAAGAGTGATGTGAACTCTATTTTTTTTTAGAAAGATTGAGAATGGTTCAGAGATTGAATTCAGTAGTAATTAGGAACAGATTGTTTGCAATCCTCAAATAATCATTCCAAAAGCTTAATTTGATAATATTTTTCTCATTTTAACTATTATAATTACCAAAGACTTTTAGAACCTTATAGATTTAAACTCAAACTTGAGATCAATCACTTTCTATTTGTATAACCATAGACATCAATAATTATTATTAAAATAGCTAAAACTTAATGTTTTCTGTGGACCAGGTTTTAAGTCTACATAATTTCATTAATCTTCACAACTATTGTGTCAGATTAGGACTACTATCATCACCATTTTACAGACAAGGAATCAGGGTTAGAAAATCTAACCACAGGGCTGGGGATGTAGCTCAGCGGTAGAGTGCTTGCCTCGTGTATGTGAGGCTCTGGGTTCCATCCTTACCACCACAAAATAGAGATGGAGGCTGAAAAGAAAGAAAGAATGGAAAGAAGGGGAGAGGGAGAAGGAAGGAAGAAACGAAAGAAAATTTAGCTTGCTACATATCTCACAGGTTGTAAATTTTAGAACCAATAATTGGCTCCATCCATCTTTAACACAATAACTCAAACTCAACTCTTACACTTCCTCAAATGATGCCAAAGTACTGTTTGCTTCATCCATAATCATGTGTTGTGAAGACTGAATGAGACAAAACATCTAAACTTCTTATAGTAATGAATTAGCATAAGCTGGGTACTCAGTAACTATTAGATCTCTATTAAAATTACCAACTTGAGTTTCTCCTCTTCTTCTATTTGTCATTTTGTACTAGGGAAATGATTGAAACATAGCAAAGGTAGAGAGAAATAAAAGGATCTATATATAGCACAGCAATATTTTACAGTTACAAAATAATCTTATCTGGGTTTGGTATATAGAATTTTATTAGTATATTTTACATATTGGTATGTATCAGTACCAATATATATGTACTGATATTATTGGTATATAGAATTTTAAAGAGCACTTTAATGCAGAAATCTAAAAAAGATGCTCATATTACAGAGAGGGTCATTTATTTATATTTATAATTCTGAACTCATAAAGTGAGAAGGAACAAAAGATTACACAGAGCATTGGTCTGCTAGAGTATTCTCTAGTGATAGTGATGAAGTTAATTCATAAAATGAACATCGTTCAATTGAGGGTACAGTGACTTCAGGAATAATCCACCTCTGTGTCTGGACACTCTCTCAATGCACTCTTCTTCCAGAGCTATGGGTTCCCAATCAACAGATGAAGTAGGATGAGGAGAACTACAAAGGCTTCCCATTCTCCTCATCCCTAATAAAATACCATCTAGTCTCTAGTCACTAAAATAATCTTGTTGGTTTATTCTAGTCTTGTTTCTCCTTTGTGTACACACCAGGACAGCTACTCTGAAGAAGATAGGGTTCTTCTGGAAAGGTAACCATACAGGAACTACAGCAGATTCTGAGAAAGATTTTGTTTATGACATGTACTTTTATGTGGTGTGATGGCTTCCTAGCCTGGGAGACTGGAATGAATAGTCATCTTCTTAAACATGCAAGCCAAGCACAATTGATTTGGATGCCATAAAGAGGAAATCACTAACTGGGGAACACCTAAAGGAGGTGTTAGAGGGAGTGGTTCAGGCCTATGACTCACTAACTGATGTTTTGAGTCATTTCTGAATGTGAGGATATAAAGTGTTGATGTTTTTCTCAACTGAGATGGGTAACCACATGCTAAAAACTGTAGCAGTTGGTTTGCAGGGACAGTAATTCTTACAAACCACAGCAGTCTTTCATGTATTGAACGAGTCATCTATACACTTCATTAGAGTCTGACTGTGGGGACATCACAGCAAAACTAACCGAACCTCTTCATTTCATAGATAACTAGGGTCAACGTGAACATATTGACTTGCCAAAGATCCCCGACTCTGTTAGTGATGTTGTCCTGGAAATGGTACTGTAAATTTATCTGAAAGAGAATCAATATATCATAGCAGTGATGTGGAGGGGATAGGTGAAGAGAAGTAGTGAGGAGGAGGCAGGGAAAGTGAGGGTAGCTGAGGGTGAAATGAAATAGCACACTAACATTTAGCTGGGCACCAACACCTACAGAGTGGCATGGTGGTAGGCCCTTTCCATGATTTTCTCCTCTGACCTTATCAAATATACCCAGGAAATATATATTATTTCTACAAACAAGAAAAATGAGGTCTACAATGGAGCAAATTGCTCAGGGTCACAGAAATAGTGTGTAATAAAACAGAAAATAAAAATCAAGTCTATCTAATTCCCAAAACAAGTGGTCACCCCCCAGTCCCTATTGCTTCTAGGGGTATTGTTTATCTGGGAAATTATGGTTTGTGGATATTTTGTTCTATCTAGACAAAGGATACTTGCAGTTTTGTGAAGGGGATATAATTCATAAAAATACATCAGATTCATAAACCTTTTTCCCTTTATTTAAATCATGGACATTTAGAGAGTCTCATGAGAACTGTGAAATTTTTCCAAGGAGATAAAATTGGCATGAACATACAGAATCAAATTTAAAAACCTCCCAAGGCTTATCTATGAGTTTCCAGAGTTCAAAAGACACAGGTTAAAAAATTATGGTGATTTTCTTGAAGTCACAAAAAACATAAATAAATAAGAGGCTAAAAAATGTTCTTTTAATTTTTTTTTAACATTCTGCAATCTTCTTCTTTTTCTTACAATTCAAAAAGTAATGATTTGAACAATTGTTTTTATTACTTTCTCATCTAGTTAATTCTTTCTTATTTTAAAGAAACATTTAATACATATGTTTTCTAAAACTGTAAGAAACAAATAATATAAGTAATGGCAGCCACACCGATTTCTGAGGGGGTAATTTAACCTGAATTACTGATGTATAATATGTGTCAGAGATATGACATGAAAATGTAAAATCGTATTCATGTATAAATAACATATATGTTGGTATGGTCCTGATGATTGTACTCTCTTAAAATTCATATGTTGAAATCCTAACAACCAAGGTAATGGCATTAAGAGGTGGGGCCATCTGGAAGATGCTTAGGTCCTGAAAGTAGAATCCTGATGAATGGGATTATTGCCCTCATAAAACAGGCCCCCCCAAACCACTCCCACCCCTTCCGCCATGTGCACACACAGCAAGAAGGTGCCATCTATGAACAAGAAGGTCCTCACTACACACTGATATGCCAACACCTTCTCTCTCTTCTCTGCTTCCAGAACTATGTTGTTTAAAAGGTCCCACTTGGTGCTATTTTGTTATAGCAAACCAAATGGGCGAAGACATTTCCTAACTACAAAAACACATAAACAGGTAGATATTGAAAGGCACATCTCACATTGTGTTTACTTACTCCTTTTCCATTATGCTACTCTTTTGCTTTAGACTGTCTGAGTCACTGGGAAGATTATTCACAAGTTTACTGGAGATATCCCGTGTTGTTGAGGATGTGGTAATCTCTTCTCTTTGGCTTTCTGAGGTCCCTTGAATTTCTCTTTTTGTTATCTGGATTATGTCATGAATCTCCTCCTTGTTGCCATTGATGTTCTCAGCAGTCACGTGTCCTATTTGTTTATCATCTTCATTTTCTGCATTATCTGGGAACATGGTGTTCTGTGACGTTTCTTGCCCTGTAACATTTCCATTCAATGATACATTGTTTTCTCTTTCCACTAATTCAGAATTTATGTGTGTTTTATTTTCTTTTAACTGAACCTGATTTGTGTAATGGCTTTCCTCCTCATTTGTGGGAGAAACAGTAGCTGTTTCTATGACATTTAGTTCCTCTCTTGCAGCAATGTCTGTTGCTTTGGTGTCATGAATGGTGGTCATTGTCCGCTGTGGAGTATGTTCATCATGCATCCTGCATAAATTACACATCTCCTTTTCTTCTTTCTTTAGAAGAAGAGCAGTGTTCCCCAAATGCTCCTTCATTTTCATGAGGCATTCTATGAAAGCAATAATTTCTACACACACACACACACACACACACACACACACACGCAAAAGAATAAGTACGAAACTAAACCAAATCATGCTTCTCCAATGAGATATGGCAAAAAAAAAAAAAAAAAATCTTAGAAACCTACCAAGACCCTTAGTGGGTACTTAAGCCAACCTCCTGAAGAAAGGCTGATTTGCACAACTGACCTTTTAAACACTTCTAGGAACTAGAAACAAGCTACTTTTAAACATGGTAGAAAAAGTACATTTGATCTCTCTTGCTCAAGAAAATGCTTTGAATTTTGAAAACAAATACCAAGACCTCCTTCTCTGGGGTAAGAACTGAAGTTGGCTACTCCCTCAATCATTCTTCTTTTGGTGTGATTTTGAGATTTGTTCCTTTGCCTCTGAAGTTACTACAGTTAAACAATTACCCATTGAAAATGATGAGCCTAAAATTAGCTAAACACTCCAAATGAGGCCTGGAGAGCAGAAATGCTGTAGCTGTGTTTTTTTCTGCTGATATATTGGGGAAGAGCTGTTTTCTCCCATGAGAATAGGATTAGATTTACGCCATTTCTCCTACTGGATTTGTGGTCATTAGAAATTTTCAAATTGGTCGTTCAAAGAGCATCTCTTATTATGCCTACAGGAACCTATGGTGTCTGCTCAAAGACTGCTCAATGAAGTCCAGCCTCTTTACGTCAGTGTAAACCTTCTTTAGGACCTGATTTGATGCCATCCGTCACTCCATTCCCATTTCATAATAGTCTCTGATCTGCACATCCCTCTTCTTGCAAATGACAAAGGTCACCTGATGACTTCTAGAGGGCTTAGCATCTCATCGGTTTTTAGGATTAGATTCTGAACTAAAGAATTTGTGATTTAAGGGTCCATAGCTCAATGTTTTCAGAATCATCACCAAATTATCCCTTCACTAGTCTGGGCTTATCTTTGGGCTCCAGTTCTGACAACCTATTCTTTGTCTTTTACCTGAGACCCTGTCTTTATTTTGGACTCCCTGTTTTCTGGTAGCTGAAGACTTGTCTTGACATTACCTAAGATCATGTTTGATGTTCTCTAGAGACAGTGGAAACCTCATCATGAGCTCCAGCTGACAGCTCCTGGACCCTGCTGCCTTTGGCAGATTTCTTTGATGCTCACTATTTGTCCTCTAGACTGAATTTCTTAGTAATATTCACCCTGCTTTCCTGATGGATTGAGACTGCCCCTGTAGCTTGACACTATTATTTACAGCTGGACTTCAGGATGCCACCTATACTCTTGGGTAGAGTAACTGCTAGTGTCTAAGATTGTATTCATCAGATACCACATTTTTCATGCCTCACTGTATGTTTCAGCATCTATAACTGGGCCCGTTCCCAAGAACTTGCCCCATAGGTGTGGGGGGATCCAGTTTCCTATCCCACATCACCCCAGTCCTTCAAATTCTTTTGTAATTAGTTATCCTGGCTCAAATGTCTCTAGAAATAGAATGTTATATTCCAATATAGAAAAACTGCTTTTCTCTGCCCCAAACTAGGCCTCTAAGCCTTGTATCCTGTTAATAATATCTCAAGATTCTCAAGGTTCTAACTACATAATTCCAATTCATTACTGAAGTTTCATTACTGAAGTCTCATTTCAAATATCATGTTTTGTTTTTTGGGGTTTTTTTCTTTTCTGGAAAAATTCTAAATGTATCACCTAAAAATAGGATCCTGTCTGATTCCAAAGAGATAAGACTTCAGTCTTTTATCTCCAGTGGGACCAGCTTGCCACTTCCTTGCATTATTATGCATTTGTCTTACCATATTGCCCCTATTCTATTGCCAGTCCCTTATAAACAGAGACTCTACCATAGACTTGTTAGTCTGCTTGTAGCATCTCTTAGATAGTGTCCTATCAATATTTCTTAGAGAAAGGAATAAATCAAAAAGATACCTACCTTGCCTCCAGATACATTCGTTCTCCTTGTCAAGCACCACATACAGCTGCTGGCAGGTGGAACACAGGGTCCCTGCAGTGTGCTCCAACAGTTGGTGAAGAGCCCCACTGAGTTCCTGACCCAGAAAGACCACTGTGGCCAACCAGGTGGCCGCCCCAGGCCCCTCACAAAGGTCATCACCCAGGAGTGCCTGCTTTAGCATTTGGTTTTGTCTCCAAATCTGCTTCAATATTTGGCCTAGTTTACCTGAGCCCAAGTCTTCTGTATCCATTTTATGCTCCAAAAATAATATGCCTCTTTCCTGCCAGCAAAGCCTAGAGGTTTAGCTGATTCAAACCTGGTGATGGTTATTTCTTCTAAAATCTAGGAGAAGATCCAAGTCAGCTAGTCAAGCACTTTCCTGCAACATAATAGCTTATTCAGCTTGTTGTTGACTAGTGAAAAGTTACTAGGTGACCAAAGGAGGGGCGTTCCCAAACCCTTTGCTCTTGTGTACAGAATAGATTAATCACGGGGATACAGCTAGTTCACACAACCCAACTCTTCAGTTTGGTTTTGCAAATTCAACACACTAATGAAGCTCAAATCCTTTTCAGCTTTGACACAACAAAATATGGATTCCAGAACTGGCAATACTCATTCTTAAAAATACTTGTGAATGAAAAACAAATATGATGTCCTGTTTGTTTCAAAGCAAAGTATAGGAATGGGATATAGATAAAATAAGATCAGCTATAAAAATTGATAGTTGTCAAAACTGGATATAGTTACATATGGGGGTCCTTACAATTTACTGATTAGCATATATATATATATATATATATATATATATATATATATAGTATTTTTATAGTAAAGAGTTCAAAGAAAAAAGGTTCTTCTACTGGAGCAGATCCTACTGCCGTTGTTTAGGTAAGTATAATTAATTCCCTTTTATATGGTAAGTTGGCAGCTAGATGGAGATAGGAACTTGGCCTTCTTACTCCTTGATAATTTCCCTCGAATTGGGAAATACCTTCTCAATAAAAGAGAGCAAACCTGAAGAGTGGCTTTCTCTGAATGAGCAAGGAGTCTTTGCCATATATAATTAAAAAATACAGCCACTGCAAGCTCTCAACTCTGCTGCCCGCTCCGTGAGCCCATTACACATGGGGCGACTGCAGTACAGGACTCCATGGAGGGCCCCCCAGGGAGTCTGCACCAGAACAGGCTGCTTCTGGCTCTCCAACCCTGCTCCCTGAAGAAGGGAGGGCACACACCAAAGGTACAGGGTGGTGCATTTGAAAGAGGCTCCTGTTCCCTCAGATGTACTGGAGTGAAATGAAAGCTTTCCAAAGGGGACCTGGAATGTTTCCCTCCCACGGGCAGCACATTATCTCATCTTTAGCACTGGGGCTCTTAGAGCTACACTCATGACACCTGGAAGACTAGATGGGAACACAAGCCCAGGGAATAAAGACAAGAAAGAAAGCCACAGGTCTGGACCTGAGAATCTAAGGGGGGAGTTGAGGAGCAGTGTGGGGACCAGTGTGGGGACCAGTGGTTCCAGGAGAGAGTCTCTGCTGACCATCTTGTTTTGCAGTGACCCTCTGTTCCTTGTGAAAGAAACCCTATTTTGAAATATGAGTCCATATCACATCATGGATCACATTTTTAAAATATTTTCAGGCTCTTCTCAATATTAAAGGCTTTCTGATTCCATTTTAGTTTATTTTCTCTAACTCCTGAAACATATGTGTAATTCCCAAAATAATATACATATGGCTTTAATTCGGTGCCAATTCTGAAAACTTTCCACTGCATTTACAGAGGGCGAAGCACTATTTAAGTGCTTTGGGGACTTCAGAGAGAGAGAGACAACTGCATGAACAGATTATTAAAATATAGCTTAGATTGTTGAGAACTAGGGCAGAAGTATGAACAAAAAGTATCATGAAAACTTTAGGAGTAAAAAATTAATTTTGATTAGAGGCTTAGATGTTTGAATTAGGAGCTAAAGGATGAGCAGGATTGGGTCACGAAAGAGAACACAGGGAAGGGACACTGCAACCCAGGAGACAATGTGATCAAGGCTCGGGTGCAGAAAACCCCAGAGCGGGCTCACAGAAGGCAAAGTGAGGCTTTAGAGGAAGGTTCGGTTCATGGGTCAGGCAAAGTAGCAAGAAGAAGAGCAGAGAGTCAGGAAGGGAAGTTAGAATTTTATTTTGCACACAGAAGAGAGGAAATATTTTCAAATGAATCTACAATGTGACCAAATCTGTGCTGTAGGGATGCTTAGATGTCAGAGACACAAGACACAAGGCTTGAGGACCTGCAGATAGGAGAAGGAGATGCCTTACAAGGGACTTGAAGTGGAATGGATAGAATTTTCAACTGTCAGGTTGAAGGAGAGGAATAAAAGCATTGAAAATCCCTCCATTCACTTATTTTAGAAATATTTCTAGATCACTGATAAAAGAATTGTGCTTGGTAGTGGCATATAACTAAAATTTTCAGTTTAGGGAGCTTCATAGATTGTAAACCCATTCAGGGATTTAGGAGGAACACTGGGATTGGTGGGCAGATAATCTGATTAACTTTGGATTTGTAGAGATTCATATAACTCAGAACAATCCTTTAGAATGTGCTATTAGATGAAAAGTCAGAATTTAGGTGATGAATGAATTCCTGGAAGTAGAAAACATCAAAGAATTTATACCAGGTCTATGTTTAAGTGTTGAATGAAACTGATAAAGAAATGCCAGATCACTGGACCAATCTACATTCATTTCCTCATAGACTTGTGGGAAAATCCTTTCTCAGGGAGGGGGGAAAAATAAAGAAGGAACAAAAACTAACAACCTTTCTTCTCAGCCTCAATAATGTTTGCTGTCCTCAAGCCTCAACTTGTTCTCAGTCTAGCTTCTTAAGAACAAGTAATATTTACAAAATGAGACCTACCACAAGCCACGCTGCTTTGACTTGTTAAAACAAGCATCTGCATGTTCCTGCATCTCGTTTTCAACTAATTGATGTCACTAACC